TATCGATAGTTTAACAATTACGAATCTTAATAAGGATGACATATTAAATGCTTTAGGCGGATTGCAAAGATATCGAACGTTAGCAAAACTTATTTTTAAGAATATTCAAATATCCAGCTTATTAACTTTACCCAGCACTTTAACGGAACTTGATTGCTCTTATACTTCGATAACTGCCCTACCAACTTTATCAAACTCCTTAACAAAACTCTATTGTTACCACACTCAAATAACTACTCTACCAACTTTACCCAACACTTTAATGACACTTCGTTGCTCTAATACTCAAATAACTACCCTACCAACTTTACCAAGCTCCTTAACAAGACTCTATTGTTACCACACTCAAATAACTTCCCTACCAACTTTACCAAACACTTTAATGACACTTAGTTGCTCTAATACTCAAATAACTACCCTGCCAATTTTACCCAATACTTTAACGGTGCTTAATTGCTCTAATACTCCGATAACTACCCTACAAACTTTACCAAACTCCTTAACAAAGTTCTGGGATATACTCTGGTGTTGTGAATGTCATGAATGGAGAAAACCTTCCAAACAAAATCAAAAGTTTTGTCTGCAATGTATTAAACTATATAAGAAATGTGAAGAATGTCATGAATTGAGAAAACGTTCTATAGAAAATCTAAATTTTTGTCTGCAATATATTAAACAATATAAGAAATGTGAAGAATGTTATGAATGGAAAAAACTCTCCATAAAAAACAATCTTATTTGTCGAAATTGTATTAAAATATATATCAAATGTGACGAATGTATTGAAGGGATTAAATCTTTCATACAAAACAATTGTTTTTGTAAGCATTGTATTAAACTATATAAGAAATGTGATAAATGTCAACAATGGATAAATTCATCTCAACAAATAAATAAATCAATGAAGTGTGATGAATGTCATGAATGGGGAAGGTCCTTCATAGTTAATTTGTTGATCTGCAAAATTTGTATTAAAATGTATAATGAATGTGGCAAATGTCATGAATGGGGAATACCACCCAAAGAAAGTGGAAACAAAGTTGTTGATGAATTTATCAGATATTCACGAATTAGTACTCATATATTTAGTAAAATGGAATTTGCTGCTTATGATCAATTCAAAGAAATTCAGTTTATTGCTGAAGGGGGATTTAGTAAAATTTATAGAGCTACATGGTGGAATGCACGCGAAGGTTATATATCGGTTGCCCTAAAGCAACTAACTAATTCTAAAAACATTTCTACAAAGGAGTTAAATGAGGTATTGATTTAATTTAATAACATTTTTTTATTTCGATATGATATATTTTTTTTACATCTTTATAAATTTAGCTTTGGAGGTATTTGGATCTTAATATCGGATCTCTTATACCTGATTATATAAATAAATATTATGGAATTTCTTACGATCCAATTTCAAAAGATTATATAATTATTATGCATCATTGTGAATCAGGTGATTTAAGACGTTTTCTAACAGAAAATTTTTATGATATGGAGTGGTGGGATAAGTTAGATTTGTTGAATAAAATTATTAAAGGCCTTAAATATATTCATAATAAAGGAATTATTCATCGGGATTTTCATAGTGGAAATATCCTTTGTTGTGGACATCGTAAAATACTAATAGGTGATTTAGGAATTAGCAAATCCTCGAATGAATTAACAGATAAGAATGACAATAATGGTGATAAAATTTATGGTATTATTCCTTATATGGCTCCAGAGGTTTTTCATGGACAAGATTATACTACAGCCTCAGATATCTATAGTCTTGGTATGATTATGTGGGAGTTAATGACGGGTAGAAGGCCTTTTTGGGATCAAGATCATGATACAGAACTTATTATTAGAATATGTGATAATATTCGACCTCCAATTGTTACAAATGCACCTGAAGGTTATATTGAATTAATGAAAAAATGTTGGCATCCTGATCCAAATAAAAGGCCAACCGCTAATTATTTAAAAGAAGTGGTTGATAGTATGGTATCTATTGAATTTAATAATTTATATAGTGGGAGTAATAAAGCAACAAATATTGTATTATCTTCAGAAATTTGACCTGTAGCCACGAATCATTCAGGCGCAATCTATAAAAGCAGATCATTAAGCAATGTAATAAGATTTGTGATATTCTCAAGAAGTCAATCCGTTACAGAATTTGGTAATTATAATAATTTTTTTTAGTTGATATTTACCTTTTATTTTTTTTGATTAAAAAAGAAATTACTTGAATTGTTTAGACCCATTTGTTGATTATCAAAAACATAATCTATCTTCTAATGGTAATATTTTATTTATGTTCATTTTTTAAATTTCAATTATTAAAGATTTCTTTTTTTATTATTTGTAAAATAAAGATAAAAGAAATTTAACTGATGATTTAAATGACAAAAACCAAGGAAATAAAAAAAGTAGATTGTCTGATTATGGTAACTATTATCTTACTTTATATATTATATATTACTACGGTATATATTCGCAAAGTCCTAATGTTCATAAGTATTAGAACATAACTATATCGATCTTCTACTATAAAGTTACTCCCAGAATATTATTAATCTTATTCTAAATTTATTAGACTATTTAACAAAAGAATTGGAAATAGATATTAATACGAATATTGTGAATAATAATGAAGGTGATGATTTATTACTTAACATTTTATCATTCATAATTTATAAATTAATTTTATATTATATATAAATATTTAGAATATTTATCCAGGGAAATTGATATTGATATTAATTTAAATCTAAAGGAATTTAGTAAATAATTACAACGAAAATTATCATTTTGCTATTTATAATTAAATTATTGACAAAAATTACAATTATTATTAAATTAAATAGTAATTTGTTTTCTGACATATTTATTTATAAATTTCATTATTATTCTATTTATAATTAATTAAATACTGTGAGAATACTGTACCTGTCATAGTTAAAAGCATACAGCACAACACGAGTTTTTATATTTGAATAAAATTCTTTCTTTTGTTAACATATTCTAAGACAAATGTATATCCTACGTACCAGTATATAAGCAATAAATTGTATCAGCTAAAACTGATGTGGAAAGATTTTTTGTTTTCATGATAAAATTAGGTTCGGGTCCTAAGTTTCTAAAATTTAAATTCTGGATTCCCGCATAAGTTTAATATATATGATATTATCATTGGAAAGTAAAATATAACGCCAGTAAAATAAAAATCTTCTCTATCCCTAAGCTGCAATAAACCTCTAATTAAACAAGTACGAATACGATGTGCCACATTATGTATGACTCTCTAATTTTAAAATTAGAATTAGTCACTCCAATATACATCCGCTGTTACGTAATGATGTGTGTTTTCGTCGATTTTTTATTAGGTTCATCGGTAAAAGTGCTACTAGTAAAATGTTTTAGGTAACAGGATGAAAAGCGTGCCAAATAGCAGTAAACGACATGACAATGATGAAGGATGAAGAATTGTCAATGTCTGAATATGCCATAAGAAATCAATTTCACCAATCGAGTCGTGAGAATCAAGTACAACTTCAATTGATGAATAATATCCATAATTTTTGTCTTGTTGGTCTTAAAGTTCAACATAATTATTGAATCGAAACATATATCAACCATTGAAGCTTGATAGAGTTAAAGAATTGCAAATGGTTATGATGTTGATGTTAGTTCGGTAATTAAATTGCTACTTGTGCGTCTGATTGTTGCATATCCAGCCAGAGTATGGATTGTACTGACTTATCTCGATATAAGATTTTAGTGCTTTTTAGTAAAAAGTGTTAAATTTCCAAGCTTAATTGATAAAGTATATGCACGAAGAGGATTTTGAATCTTAATTATATCATTTGTTGGGATATCAACATGAATATGTTTAGCGATTAAGATCGTACGAAAGTAATCCATTGAGAGAGATTATAAGGATTCGTCCAATATCAATATGGAAATCTGATTTTCTCAAGTTCTTTTATACATTCATCTATTTATCATAATTAGGAGAATATGTTATTTATCAAAATTATTATAGTTTGATTCTAATTAAATCTACATTTCTTAACTTGCCTGGATTTTCTTATATCATAAATAATCATTTTGAATAACAAAACACATTAACGATTTCAAGTCAGGATATTAGCGACGTAATGATAATAGCAATCCAATTATTTTGTTCTTCTTGTAAACTAGATAACCGTGAATACATAAAAGTATGTGACATTACACTATTGTACTGGTTATTTTTTGTGTAATGTAGTAATTTTATTTTATCATTAACCTACTTATGAACTTTAATGTAGTTTTTATATTTTTTAATAAATATCTCATTTATTATGATATTTGCTTAAGATAATTAAAATATGTAAGTTCAGAAAGATTAAAGAACCGAACATATGACTTACTAAAGTATGTAACTCGATTTTAATAGAAAATCCATATCTTAAATTTATTAACAAAAAAAAACACCGTTGCATTTCAAATAAAATAATATTTGAAGCAGATTACGATTTTATTTTAAATCATATTAATTAATTATTAGTGTTTTAAGAAATACTTATTGAAAATGCACAGTTATGTCAAATTTATGCGTCTATAGAGTTCTAAAATTAACGTTAATTATATTTTATAAAAAGATCATGAATCGATTTTATAATCATAACTCAAGTCAAGTGAGTCAGAGTACCCGAATCATAAAATCGAGTTAATTAGAATCAACCTAACAATTTAAGTTATTAACTGATGCGAATATATATCTTTATTGATATCAAACTATGCTGCGCCTCTTAATTTAGTCACCAAAAGGAGAGCATAGCATATCATTAATATATGTCAAGAAGCAAATCTAAATTAAATAATATTAAATTAACTGGTTTGGTTTTAACACATTTATTGCAATATATAACAGTAAACAAAAATAGTCCAGTCTGATCCTAGGAGCTGTTTATAATTATAATCTTTAAAATGATGAAATATTTTCTTTTAAAACTTCTGCACGGCTTCTCATTTGATTTTTGAGATTAAGTTCTAATTTATAGTTACGGTTAAAATGTAATTGGCTGCATATCAATTTGTGCCACATTATTTGATTTTCTTTTTTATTATTAACATTTATGTTTAGGTATTTATTATCTCATTATTCAAGAAATCAAATAAAAAAAAATATTATAGTAAGGTCGGAATTTTATAATTTACACTAACTTTCTTTTTAATAATCAAGTCACTATGAAAATACATTAATAATTTATTTATTATATATATGTTGTGCCTCAGATGTCGAATCGCCTCAGTTGACAACTGAGGCACCTCAAATATCGATCATCATTTGA